GATTACCCATTTGAATTAATTCTGGCAGTGATCTTGTGGGTGCTGCACGCCTCTGCTTAAAAATTATCACCCCACATACAAAAAAGCATCTTTATTAAATGAACAAGAAACTAAAAAAAATAAGCATTATTAAAAACTACAAAAAGTGCATCATTTGAAAATCCATATTCAAGCTCCAGATTTGTAAAATTAAAAAAATTCCATACACATTTAACTTGTTTGATTATTTATTGAATAAAAGGTCTGTTCCAACGATCAGAAACAAACCACTGGGTAGTACACAATTTTGCAGTCTCAATAAACTACTGTGCAGAATCCTGATGTCAGTAACTCATTTCTGAGCATTGTTGGAACAAACCTAAAGTAAATCGAAACCACTTAAAAACAAGCACAACATTTATACTCGAGCAAATTTTTAATTCCTATCAAAATTTTTAATTACTGAATATTTTGTTCTAGTTATATTAAAATTTAAAAGTTCTTACTCTTCATTATAATTATATTTTTTATTTTCCCTATATACCTACATACTATCTCTAACATTTTACAAATTTGATGCCTAATTAAAGATTTCATCTAGCATTGCAGAACATAAAACGTTTTTCACATTTGTATAAATCTTCTACATCTGTCATATTAGGATAACAAGATTGTATCTAGACAGCTAGTTATTTTTTGGAGTTGAAGTTTGTATAGCCATTAACTTGTTTGATTTTCATTGTGTTTCTAACTCTAATTTAAGAGAAAATCTTAAGTGATAAAAAATGCAGAAATAACTAAGCGACCTACATTTTTTAGAATATTTGATAAAGCATAGTAGTAACTGCCAGTTAAAACTGTGTTTCTAGTATTTAGTTTAGGCAACAGAGACAAGGCTTAGAACAGAAAATACATACTTTTGTTAATTCAGAATTTTTAAATGTTGTTTTATATTATACATCTTTCTAGGTATCCTCTATAATTTTTTTTATAATTTTCAATCAAAACTGTTTAAAAACAAAAAGTTTAATAAAAAAATACCCATTATATTTAATACGGTTTATGCTCTAAAACTCACTGTTCTTTTAATGGCAGATTTTTTAACCTCTGAGTAAAGTTACGCATAAGTATAATCTATAGCCTAATCAGCAAGTAGTTACTTTCAACTTTATTCAGAGGTAAAAACCTGGCCTTTAATCTTAATATAATTGTGGAGGATGGAGACTACATTTGCTAGGGATTAGGGAATAACAAGGATCTAACTACTATAATGACACTTGCTAAAAACTGTATAAGTTCTATGTACATGCAGATAGAACCATGTGAATAACTTTAGTGCTTCGATAACACAACATTGATAATTAACAGATGAACATATTGGTCACAAAAACAAATTAATTAATATATTCTACCAATCTCATTTTTTCCAAAAAGTACAGTTACAACCTTGTTATTCTTTGAGATGTATTTATTACTGATACTTATTAATAAAAATAATAATAATAATTGATATAGGTACTTACTGATCTTTGGAAACATATATACTCCAGTCCAGTGAGACTTCATTATTCTGGTATAATCGGGTATAATGCTATTTCACAGAAATGTTTGTAATTCCAATCACTATGTATGGATTTGATTATAGTAGGTATAAAACTAAATGTTTATTGAATATCTTTAATCTGGGCAATGAAAACCACAAAACTCACTTTAAAAATAATAAGCTTCAATCTGAGTACCATAGTTAAGGTCCACTTCTTCATTTTATAATCTGTAACCCACTGTATTGCTGTTTTTGCCAAAACAAAGGTAATATTTGAACACAAAACAAAATCAGCTGTTTTTTATAAACACCCCCATTTCACTTATTTAGTAGCAAGTCTCTGGCAGCAACTTGTAACTTAATTGGAGCATATTTATTAAATCTTGAACACTTTTTTTGATCCTATAAACGCACACATCAGTGTAGCTTGTTTAAAAAAAAACACTTATAAGCAACCATCAATAACAATAAACTTATTTGTTGACCATTAATTTTTTCATCTGTACTTCTTCTGATAGTTTTGTTATTTTTCATTTCATATAATCTCGAATTTTCACCATCACCAACTATTTTTATGATTGCACTTTTTCTGACAGATAAAAAGATTGCCGCAATTTTCCGCCGTAACGACACTAGCGAACCTAGCGGATTTTTGCCCTAAGTACGACCGGTTTTGGTATGTTTTTTTCAGGGAGTTGAAACACCTTTATAGTGCGCCGTGACTGATACCATTTACATAAAATACAGTAGGTATATAGAGTTATCAGGTAGGCTCTGTAATTCTCTCCCTAGGTTAATAATGAACCACTTTTCTACCTGAAAATCAGTCAATAAAGTTAGCTTCTAAAGCTAGTAGTGAAAAAACTTAATTATTTATGTAAATAATCTATTGCTGTTCCGTGTCCCTTTCCTTTCGAGACACAATGTATTTTTAATTTTAGAAATGTAACGATCCCCAAAACTCCCTCTATCAAAATTATACAGTGTGTCCGTAAAGTATGGAACAAATTCATTTTTAGCTAAACAGACCATTTTAAGAAATAATCCTGAAACACGTCGATTTTTGATTTTAATTTACCGTATTTTAAAATAATAATCTAATATACAGGGTAAATTACTTTCGAGTAATGACGTCACCGTCATTTTTTTAAATGGAACACCCCCATTTTGTCTCAATTTTCGGATTACTCTAGCTGACCTGATTCCAAAAATGTATCACATGTTGATTCCAATTGGTACAGGGTGGGCAAAAATACAATAGTTTTGTGTGTGCTCACAAAGTAACGCGTAACATTCTTTATTAGTTAAATTAACAATATTATTAAAAATACTTATTGTCTAGCGGACAGAATATGATGAAATACATGACTTTATAAATGTTCGAACTGCAGCCCTTGCTGTATTTGACAGTAACCCAAACGGTGTACAAATTCTTGTTGAACCTTGTTTATTGTGTCTTGAGAAATATTGTTTATTGTTGTCCGAATTCTCTCTTTTAATTCTTGAATATTTGCTGGTTTCGTTTGATACACAACATTCTTCAGGTGGCCCCACATAAAATAATCCAAAGGATTGAAATTTGGTGGCCTCATCAGAAAAAATAATGTTTTGTATCAAGAGAGGGTCTCGGTGACATTTATCCATCATTTTTTCGCAAAATTGGATTCTTCTATCGAGATCATCTTCGTTTAATTCCTGCACAAGTTTGATTTTATAAGGATGCCATTTTTCAAGCTTTAATAGTTTGTGTACCGTTGTTTTGCTAACACCGATATCGCGACTAACTTTACGCACAGAAGTGTGCGCGTCTTCTTCAAAACTAAGTAAAACATCTAATGCTGTATCAGCATTTGCAGAGGGACGACCTGATTTGCGTACATTTTCAACCGTACCAGTTTCTCGAAATTTCTTTTCAATCTTACTGACTGTTGAACGCGTTATAGGTCTTTCTGGATATTTATCATTAAACAAATTGCACACTTCCATCTGAGTTCGCGATCTGTCTCCATACCCATACGTATTTCAATTTTTTTGTTTTACACTTAACTCCATTTCTAATTCAAATTAAATCTAAGCAATAATTAAAACATTCACGAATATCAAAAATATTGTAGTACTGAACTGTCACTGAACATCAATAAATTACAAAACAAATAATGACATTTCACAAAAAAACTAGACGACTATGTTTTTTCAAAATTGATAAGAAATAATTTCTTTCATATTCTGTCTGCTAGACCACAAGTCCACCCTGTACCAATTGGAATCAACATGTGATAGATTTTTGGAATCAGCTCAGCTAGAGTAATCCGAAAATTGAGACAAAATGGGGGTGTTCCATTTAAAAAAAATGACGGTGACGTCATTACTCGAAAGTAATTCACCCTGTATATCAGATTATTATTTTAAAATACGGTAAATTAAAATCAAAAATCGATGTGTTTCAGGATTATTTCTTAAAATGGTCTGTTTAGCTAAAAATGAATTTGTTCCATACTTTACGGACACACTGTATAAAGATCAAAGTGATTTTGTTTTTTATTTTTTAAATTTTTGACCATTTTCAAATGAATTTTGTACCAAATTTAAAGTAATTCAAAGTTCAAAAGTTCTTTGAGCTACAAAGAAGATTATAGACACACAGAAACACGTGCACTCATTGCCTCAATCCCCAGGATGTTGCTCGCCGCCGCGTCTCCATGACAAAAAAGAAACCATGCGAAGTATAGAAGAGTATACGCTTGGATTTTGCATTAAAAACAATGCATTTTTATAACGGAATTGTGGCAATTCTAACGCATCCAATTAATTGAAATTTTAGAAGCATATTAAGAACATAAATAAAGTCTGCTCTTCTTTCGTTTTTTTTTATATTTATGAAAATATAAGCGTAATAATTTTTTGAAGTTGGACGAGTTCAAGCCGACTTTCAATTTTTTTAATGTGTCTTTTATTTATTTTTTGAACATTTTGAATGAAGAGCAATCTAAGTTTCAGTTGTTTATATAACATATATTTTTTTCAATAACATCCAAATACTAGATCAGTTACAATTCCTTTATAAAAATCCTTAAAATTTAAGCCTATTTTCAAAAGTAAGAATGCCCTTAATCGATTATTATAAAAATCGGCTGAGTAAACAATAATGATACTCTCTGTTGGAGTCTTCGGGCACTCTTATTTTGAGTCTCATCATCGTCTCTCATTCCAGTAGAAGTGGAGTGACGTGCCCTCGTCGCCTTTAGATATTTAGCCCTTGGTAAGGCCCTTTTTACATATTGTTATTACTTTTTAGGTATTTTATTGTTCGTTAATACATTGTCAATTATTGTTCTGCTCTTTTATTTCCCCAAGTCAGGTAGCACATAGAATCTCTGTTTAAAGTGACTTCATCACGACCAAAAAGGCTCGGGACAATATCAGATATGTCCCAAAAGTAAAGGGAATATTACTTTGTTAATAAAAACTGCTTACTTACCCCTGTGGGTGTATCATTAATTCTAGGTTGATCAGACATTTCCACGATCAGATTGAGACCTTTCACGACTTTTCCAAAAGCCACATTAGTGTCGTCTATGTGAAAGCAAGGTGTAGTGGTTATATAAAATTGCGACTGGTTCGTATTGGGTCCCATATTTACCATGCCAACGATACCTTCAGTATCGTGCTAAAAAAGACAGTAGAATTATTGTTGATGGAAAGTAATCTGGGTTGAAAATTCTTTGGAGTTGTCTGCAAAACACACTTGTTATATTACATTTGCACAACTCTTAAATTAATTTCTAATACTTTCAAATTGTTATTTACCTTTATGTAAAAATTTTCATCTTCAAAATAATGACCGTAGATGCTTTCTCCACAACTACCGTTATTATTGACAATATCGCCTCCTTGCGCCATGCACATTGGCACAACTAAAAATAACTTTGTTATTGGGATATACGAACATAAAAAAGTATTATTAGTAAACTAAATATTTATTTCCTTCAATACAAAAATTATCAATAGAAAAAAATAAACAAGAAACATCAATAAAAGTAAAACAAAAACAGGTTTTTATTATTATGATAATTTGCTAAGCAAATAGTACATCACCAACGTTTAAGAAACACGATATTGATAGGTTTGATAATTCAAAATAGTAAAATTTCTATCTTTCAAAAACCGAAAATTCGAGTAGAACTTTCCAGGGCATCTTGTCAGCTAGCAGGAACCATTTTCCCGTCTAATTCACTCTCTTCCTGTTTTACAGACGAAAGTACTTCCACAGATTTATTTGAGAATCTAGATTGTTGTGAGGCGCTCCTCATTTTCATAGCCATTTTGAGTTTTTGCATGGGAGTCAAGTTTTCTGAATTCACGTCGTCTTTAGAAACGTTTTTGAAATTTTCGCTTGTCAAATTTTCTATGCCTGAAAGCATTGGAAGCTACGGGCATTAATATGGTTTTTTTTTGTGAGAAAAAGTAAGGAACACTGATAATCCGTGCAAGATCAGAAAGATGGTGGTGGTAAAAGAGAACAATCAACCAGACTAGTGTTGCCAACCAATTTAAATAAAAGTACTAAGAGGGCGTAATAAAAATTTACATTTTCTCCCATACAAAATTTTAATAATTGCCCCAATTTTTCAATTAAAATTAGTTCCTAATTAAATGCAAAATATTAATTAAAAAAATAATTTAGATAAAAATTGTAAAATAAAACTCTTTGGCAAAAATAGTAAAGAAGTAAAGTTAGAAATGGTAACAAATACAAATATACAGATTTATGCACTCAAAATAAGTTGGTTTAACTAAGACCGCTAGAGGTCAACAAAGTTAAATAAAAATAACAGTTGTTTTTTTAATCTCCAAAATTCAGCTATTTTCAATGATCAAACTTGGTACGAATACTAGGTGTTTTATTGGACATTTTTTAATTATTTTATTTGTCAGGTTTTGATATTTCTCGCATTACAATGAAATATTATACTTTTGATCGATGTTGCCATGATGTACGCCTTTCAAAAAAGAAAAGATTTGAATTCGTCATGTTACAAATTAATTTTACGCATTGTTTGTAAAGGCATACACGGAGTGAATACGGAAGCCATTTATAAATAGTATTACCATGTACTTTGTGAAGTTATCCACCTCTATCATTTTAATTTTCAAGTTTACCACATTTATTATAATCAGTCTTTCGTGGTTATACCGGTAGATTTAAACTTAAAATGATTGAGGTGGATAACTGCATAAGTGAAGTTCTGATCGAAGTAAACCCCGCGAGTCAAAAGACTTCATCAGTAAAAAAAATTGTCAATGGAAGTTTTCATTTTAGACTTTCATTTTGAATAAAACACACACCCATTGCAGGATCCACAGGTAAAGGTTCTTGCACCTGCCTAAGATAGTAAGGATACATTAAATATTATTTTAAAACTTCATGAACAATATTTCTAACGATATAAACTATATAATGTTAAAAAAAAAACAACTACCCAGACAGCACACCAAATCCTTTGGATATCTACTGAACATCCCAATATCCACTGAATGTCCAGTCCATGGTAGATATCTATTTTATATCCATGAAATGTAATTTATAGACATGCAAATGTCCATAAATAATAGTAATTATATAGCAAATTATTAAAAAATTACGCCATTGTGCTCGCCATTGTGGCTAATAGTACCATTCAGATATTTAAAATTATTTTTTTTAAGGTGTATTCAATATCCCATGAACATCCACTAAATATATCAAAGTCTAGGCGCGAACGCAAACCATCGTGGATATCCACTAGATGTTATTTGATTCTGCTTACTAAGTATAGATGGCGATACCACTATCGCATCTACTCATGCTCGACCCGCCGTAATTGATTTAGATCGAAATTTGTGTCCTAATCACTCCATTAGAGACTGGAGTCGAGAATTTTCATTTATTGCTGAAGAGTCCTAATAAGGATGACTTTCTCCTTAGTGGGCAAAATCAAAGGCAGAGTGTTGAAAATATTTTTTATCTCTGCTATTTTCTTTCGACGTTATTCAATAATCATTGGTTACTTATAATAATAATAATAATAATACTCTCCCTAATTCACCCCCTTACGAGTGAATTTCAACCCCTGAAGTCGACTGAACGACTTGTGTAGGAGAAGGGACGGCTATTATTATTTGCCGTGGCGCTACGGGGCGACTTAAAGATGATTGATGGTGCCATTTGACTTACAGGTGAGGAAAACCTCACCCACCATCATCGAGACGGTAATGCATGGCGATTTTTTTAAATCTGCATGTGATATCAACAGAAATTGAATTTCTATTAATACGCCACACATCAAATCCTAAAACGAACCATGCAATTTAATTAAAAATCCACATGGTCTGGTCTGGGATTCGAAGCCCAGCAGTCTCAGACTCATAAGCTTGCCTATAAATGAATATAAGCGCGATAGACCGCTACACCACCGTCCCGATAAAACCTCTACTAAAGATACCCATAAAATATTTTGCTCAATATCCGAATATCTTCTATATCCTGGGATATAGACAGACATTTGGTTGGATATCCATATTGGATATATTGAATATCCACAAAATATATTCTGTGGATATCTCTGGGATTTCTTGTATTTTCTGAAAGATACCCATTAGATATTTTGCTGAATATCCATTAGGATATCTTCTATATTCTGGATATAGACGGACATTTGGATATCCATATTAGATCCACGGAATATTTCTGATATCCTGTGGATATATTGGATATCCACAAAAGATATTCTGTGGATATCTCTGGGATTTGGTGTGTTGTCTGGGAACGGAATCGTCTCTTATGGACAATGTTAACAATTTTTGAAATTTTGTAAACAGTAGAAAATGCAAAAGTAATATACCTTCGGTAATGCACTATGATAATACCACTAGTTCCTCTAGCATGGAGATTGTCAATTTGTTTGCTGAGTATTTTTCTAAAACTTATAGTGATAAAGATTATAATTTGCAGGATACTTTCCCTTCTGGTGGCATCAACCTGTTACAATTTTGCATATCTATCTCATCAATCTATGAAAACTATCAAAATTGGATATTAACAAAGGGCCAGGCCCTGATGGTCTTCCACCATCCATTATTAAACACTTTAGCTTTTTGTTCTCCAGACCCTGTTTTCATATCTTCAATTTTTCTTTAAAAAGCGGGACAATTCCAACGTATTGGAGAACAAGTTTTATTACTCCTATACTGAAATCCGGAGATAACTCACATGTTGATAACTATTGACCCATCAGTATATTGAGTTGTATTCCTAAAGTATTTAAGAGCCTTGTTTGTGATTATTAATCAGCTAGTTTAAAAAGCTGTTTTATTAATCAACAGTTTAGATTTATTTGTCATCGTTTGGCAGAGCTTAACCTTTTAACATTTACTATTTCTTGGAATCCCTAGAGGACAGTAATTAAGTACATGTTGTGTATACAGATTAAAAAAAAAGCTTTTGTTTGGGTTATAACCACAAAGCATGTATCTTCTAGAGACCCCACGCCAATGTTAAACTTTTAAACCAAATTAGCGCCACCTTGTGTTTGGAGCTGGAACTAAAATGACAATTGACAGATGGCGGTAAATTCAAATTGTAATTTTTAGGAGTAGGTAGTAGTTTTAAATTAAATTTTAAATGATTTCCACATAAATTATTTTATAAAATAAAGTATGGAACTAGTAAGTTCGAAACTTTTATTTTACAAAATAATTTAGGTCGATTATACAAAATTTGAAGAATTAATTTGTTATACGGGGTCTAATGTGGAGAGTTGGTTCTGCATATTTTTATTAAATAAATGTAAGATATATCAATAAATAATAAAATAGAAAATTCTTAAAATATGTTTATTAATAACTTAAATAAATATTATTAGATAAAAATAAATACAAATAATAATACATATTTAACGAATACTTACTTGGAGCAAATAGATATATAATCTCAAATCTTTAAAATACCTATTAATAATTTAAATGTGAAGTAGAGACTAGGATATTACATTTTATTAACACTAAAGTTATATATTTTATAAATGTCTTTTTAACTGAGGACAAATGTAATATAGGTATTGTATTAAAAGGTGAATCCTTTTAACTATTTATTCAATGATAAATAGGTATTTTCCTTCCAAATACAGATGGTGATATATACAGATTTCGGAATCTAGTCCAGTGATAAATTGATTATCAATTAGTTGTTGTCCCCGTTTGTCTTTTATGATGCAGATGCATGGTGAATCAATGAAGTTTTTCTCGAAGTTTTCAACGTAGCACCAAAATTATTGCAAAACACAGTAGGAAATAAAAAAGCGAAACATCACAATTTTGCAAATAACTAAGACGAAACTATAAACAGAAACCAAAAGCCAAAGCCAACAAAAAATCACTAAAATCAGACGGAAAAATGAAACTAACCAAGAACATAAATAAATACACGTCACATCTTTGGAGTCTTTGGTTAAGTTTTTCTCCCATAAGGCTTAAAAATGGAGTAAGAAATCATAATTTCACCAGTAGCCCCATCTAGAGTTTGGAGCAAATAGCATAAAAAATGTCAGTTGTCGGTTTTGACCTTGGTCATTCACGTGGAACCTCTATGTGCTTTGTGGTTATAACCATACACTTTTAATTAATAAGATGCAGAGTATGGGAATTAATGTTTTGTCTTTGCCCTATTCCTTATGTTTGCAGATGACTTAAAATTATATATGAGAATAAGAATGAATCTGATTACATAAAACTGCAAGCTGATTTAGATCGTCTCAGCAACTGGAGTGAAATCAATGGAATGGAACTTAATGTTAAAAAGTGCCATCAAATGGTCTTCAGTCGTAACAGAAGTCCCACAAAACAAATAATCTACAATATTATTGGTTGCCCTTTGGAA